TACTGCTATGCGATTCTGAAGATGCTCCTGATTTCAATGAGGGCGATGTAGGTGGCAAGAATTTGATGGATATCTTGAGCTTCACTCCCAAAGATGGTGACGTTTATAGCACAAGAATCAGGGATCTTGTGGAGTTCAGTATCAAAACAGGGTTGTTATGAAAGTATCATCGATATTGAACCTAGTCTAATTGAATAAACATTATTTTGATATTAGGGCTATCAATATACAATTAAGTGAGTATTCAGTTCTCTTTCATTGAGTGCAGATTTTTCATTTTCATTAGTATCTGGTGATAAAGATCGGAGAAGGAATGGTACAATCTACAACAACTATTGGAGTTGCCTATATTTTATAAGTGATCTTTTTCGAATCATTGTAACTTTGTCTACTATACATGTCTTGATTAATGCACCCAATATAAACTCCAACGCGTGCAAAATATTTGGTGTAAATTCGTTTTCAATCTGAGGAAATATGATCACATTTCTCAATTTATCCTGCAGCTGGAATGACTTAGAGTTTCTGATGTATTTAAATTCCATGTCCTTATTTCTTTGCACATACTGTTCAATACTCACAGTGCGCCATACCTTTTTGATAAACTAGTCTTAAAACCAAATTACACAATTTTGACTCCAGACATTCCCATGTACTCAACATGCCATAGCGTTCGACTACTCCGTTTGAACGCAGTTTCACCTGAATTGTTGTAAGACTCCCAACATATTACCAATATGTTATGTGAAACAGTCTTCGATCATACAACTTTGTTGTTCGGAGGAAACAGTCGACACTATTTCAGTTGTAAACTCAGGAAGAAAAGGAATGAGAACTAACTGATTATAAATTCAGCGGATACTGAAGGTTGAATTGCTTCGTTTGCCGCAATTTCGGCACAATCGTACGAGCATTATCTGAGCGTTTAATATAAGGATCAGAATATCATTTTGCTGGGTGGAGGAACAGCCACTATGATTGTTAGTGGTCTATTTGCACGGAACAAACCGCATTTGCTGCTCACTTTATTTTCAGGTGGTGTAAAAAAAATAATCATTTTTATCATTAGTATCATCACCATTATACAGGGTGTCCTTAAAAGGTCTTTACAAAAAGCTACCACATATTCTTCAGACCAAAACAATTCGATACAAGCAAACTTACCTCAGTAAAAAGTTGCTTAGTTTGGGCGCTAGACGGCTCTGAAGTTGAAATTTTCAAATCGATTTTGCTTCATAACTTTTGAACGGCTCATGAGATTTTTTTCAAATTTGGTACGTTGGCATAGACTCATCGGGCAATGAAACTCATATCATAATCATGATGAATATCATTCCATGGGCGTAGAACTTGATTTTTTCAGGAAATAAACATCTAAAACTCCTACGCCAATGAAAAAAAATTAGTTTCAATATGAAATCTAAATTATTCAACTCATTCACTACAAAAAAGGTACTCTTGACAAAAGTCGATTCCTCTCATGGTTTCGACAAAATTTTAATTTTAGTGATTTAGAGCATAATTAATAATAAAACGATTAACAGATATTTCATAAAAATTGTTCAAAATGTTCACCATTTTCACGTATACAAAGATTTATACGACGCAAAAAGTTGAAATGTACTCTTTGCATAACTTCTTCATCGCCTGTAAGATTATTCGTCGCCTGTTGGATACGTTGCCATAATTGTTCTACAGTATTCACAGGGGTCTTGTGAACCGTAGACTTGAGATAACCCCATACAAAATAATCCATCGGTGTTAAGTCTGGAGAACGTGGTGGCCAATTCACGGGTGCATCATTACCTCTACCTATCCATCTGTCTGGGTACTGTTGGTTTAAAAAATTCCTAACATCCACCGAAAAATGTGGTGGAGCTCCATCGTGCATAAACCACATATCTACCCGATGTTGGAGTGGTAAATCTTCCAACAAATTTGGCAACGTATTTCGTAGATGTTGAAAATACATGTCTCCTGTTAATCTTTGTGGAAGTATGACAGGACCAATTATAAAATTTCCTATTATTCCAGCCCAAACGTTGATTTTGGATTCGTGTTGAAAATGGTTTATTTTAATGGAATGAGGATTTTCAATTGCATAAACGTGTTCATTATGAAAATTAGTTATTCCTCTTCTCGTGAAACAGGCTTCATCAGTGAACAAAATATTCTTTCCAAAGTTCAGATTCATTTCTCTTTGCAAATTAATGAACCTACAAAACATCAGACGACTTTGTGAATCATGGATTAATAAATCTTGAACTGGCGTCTTGTGGTATGGGTATAATAATTGTTCTCTTAGTACTTCATGAACGGCATTCCTAGAAACTTCTAGTTCATTACTTATCCGTCTAGTACTCAATTCTGGATTTTCTTCAATACGGTCTAAAATTTCTACTTCGACTTCGGGAATCCTTACATAACGCTGTCTTTCATAATCACCAGTTCTAGGAGCAAAATGACCGGTCTCCCGAAGACGTCTCTCAACTGCAGCAAAGGTTGGGTGGCTTGGTACGCGACGATTTGGAAACCTTGCCGAATACACCCTCACACTCTCTCGACCATTTCCTTGACAATATCCGAATACCAATAACATATCGGTGTATTCTTCATTGGTGTATTGTACGGCCATGATAAATCAGAAAAGTCCGATATCAACAATCAACGTCAATAAAACTCGACAAATCAACACAGATGAAACTATGGAAACCAAGAATGTGAATATCACTGTTTTCGAGCAGATAATAATAGTCTTCAGAAAAAAAAACCAGTGCTACTTATTTTCAATAGAAATAACCTATGCAAAAAGTACATCTCAACTTTTTGCGTTGTATAAATCTTTGTATACGTGAAAATGGTGAACATTTTGAACAATTTTTATGAAATATCTGTTAATCGTTTTATTATTGATTATGCTCTTAATCACTGAAATTAAAATTTTGTCGAAACCATTCGACCATTTGTCAAGAGTACCTTTTTTGTAGTGAATGAGTTGAACAATCTAGATTTCATATTGAAACTAACTTTTTCCATTGGCGTAGGAGTTTTAGATGTTTATTTACTGAAAAAAGCAAGTTCTACGCCCATGGAATGATATTCATTATGATTATGATATGAGTTTCATTGCCCGATGAGTCTATGCCAACGTACCAAATTTGAAAAAAATCTCATGAGCCGTTCCAAAGTTATGAAGCAAAATCGATTTGAAAATTTCAACTTCAGAGCCGTCTAGCGCCCAAACTAAGCAACTTTTTACTGAGGTAAGTTTGCTTGTATCGAATTGTTTTGGTCTGAAGGATATGTGGTAGCTTTTTGTAAAGACCTTTTAAGGACACCCTGTATAGAACACTTGTGACACTCGTGAATTCCATTGGGCTTGAAGTCAAAGTAACACGAAGTCTACTCTGTTCATGCTATCGAGTCTTTATTGGCTGTTCATCAGGAACTCCATAAAACATTTGAAATGATATGAACTGAATCCTTGTTCCTGTTATTGACTACTAAATACTAACGGAAGTTGCACTGAAAAAAAAATTGATTGAAATTTCACTCAAGGTCCACGCAATAATGAGTCAATTTCGGTCCACGCCCGCGATTGAGTTGAAATTGCCGAGGAAATTGCACCCTACTCGACTGTGTAAAATGGTAATTCATGAACCGATTCAATCAAATTTTTTATAAACATTCTCATTGATATGACAACTTGATGAAATATCTAGTTTGAGAAGAGAATTCACTCAAAAATGTCAATCAGTAAATTCACTCACAACCACATATGCATTCACTCAGAGGAATTTTCTACAGTGTGAGGTTTTCTTGAAGGTATAGCTTTCGTTGAGTAGGGGATAATACATGTCTAAAAAACCTTTCATAACATGAGAATATTGATATTTTCAATGAAAACTCAAGAATTGTTTTATAATACTTGAAAACTTGCAAAGCATCACTGCTCAACAATAATTTCAACAATTACGACGCTTTGTACAGTACCATGGTCACCTGTAAGAATATATTGGGTAATGATCAGAATTTCATCTGTCATGAGTTAACTGTCCATTCTATCAGAATGGTACGAAGGAGATGGCTTAAAGCTTAGGAATTCTTTGCCAATGGAAGTATTCAAAAAAACTTGAGACCTTCAAACCTCCCTTCCTCTGCTAGGTACGAACGGTGTTTTTTTGAATTCATAGTAGTTTCCTTTTGTGACTTTCAAGGGATGAAAAAGGCAAAAAAAGGAGAAGCGGACATTTCAACGATGGTATTGCCAACCATAACTCATTAATGATTCACTCCATAGGAGATCGACTGAACATTCTGTCTGAAAAATTTACGCAATAAAGATGATTGTTCAATACCTAAGCATTTTACATCAGAGTTCGAGAGCAGTTTTGAATATGTCTGTTTTGAATAATTACATATTCGGTCTTACTTTACTTCATTATATCATACATTATTAATACTTTTGTATTAATTATCATCATTATCGTGATGGAATATGAGTAGAACAGAAGGAAATTCAGTATAATAAAGTCAAACATCAAACACGTCATGGACTAGCGATTGAATTTTTCTCTCATGTTTAAAAATGGGAAAGTCCCTACCGCAGTGACAGTTTGGAACAAATAATCTGATCTGTCCTTATAACATGTGTATTGAAATAATGGAACGACGAAGAGGAACCCCGAAAATCTATAGAGAAATCAATATTTCACCTTCTTGATCAACCTACAGACAATATTCGAATCAGAATTTCCCAATCTGGTGCCCCTTTTCGAACAAATCAGTTTTTTCATACCTACATTACAAAGTGCATGGAATGTAGTATTTCCGCCTCAATCATATTATAACGTACACATATCATCGCAATGCGACTACAGGTTGATATCCAATTACACACATGTGCATGAAGTACAAGGCCATTTCTATTATCAATAATTGAATACTTGAGGATTTGATAAGTAGATTGGTTCCGTAGAATAGTGAGAATGTCTACGGAAATGTTAGCAGAACGAAGCCAGCTTATGAAGAAAATCGCGAGTGATAATGATTTCACCGATCACCAAGTCACAACCACAACAGAAAGTGTGAGAGGTGACAATTACATGGGCAAGATCACCACTGTTACAGAAGAGGATGGCAACAAGAAAATGGGGCTGATACTGAGGTCAGCTCATGTGGGGAAGATCAGAAAGCAAATGTCAATACACAAAGTCCATCTTCGCGAGATATTCTTATACGAGGAAGACTTCGCGAAGTTCAAGGAGTTTCAGGAAGAGTACCGCATATCCAAACCATTTCAGAAATACGCCAAGCTCTACGCAACCAGTAATGTAGAGCGCAGGGAGTATCTAGTCATGGAGAACACACGAGAAAGCGATCACAAATAGGCTTACATCACAAAAAAAAAATTATTTCATAATTCGATAGAACTCACCCAAACTAGCTTTGTTGATTTTTGGGACGAAGATAATAAGAACAAGAAGAAGATCAATCTTAACCCATATGAACTTCTTGCAGCTCCATGTAAAACTGGTCAACAAAGCAATGTTGCTGCGTTCATGAAATGTATTGGATTATTGTGAAATTGTAATGGTGCAAATGGTTTTGAGATTGAAACATTTCGTTGTCTATAGATTGTTTATATTACAATGATTCAACCTACAATTGACAACTTGAATATATTTTTCTGCAGTAGTGGTAGAGTGGATATCAGAAGATATTTCGATATCGATTTCGATCTCTCGGATATTTTGATTGGATGATATGGCAACAGTGATAAGTGTCACACATGGGTCAGGCTCATTGGTTCCAGAGTGAATTAGCGCGAGATCACAGTTGAAAGAATTAATATATCAGTTGCCTCAGTCTCCCTCGATGAGGTTTCTACGTCATAAGAGGGTTCGTTTTCAGAAGGTAATATTATTTATGTCCAAAAATAAAACATTCCAGTTAATTTTTCGATCGAATTATGTCGTCAATCATTAGTTATGTACCAAAGGATCATGATAAACATGGTTTGAGTTGAAAGTTCTACTGAAGTGTACACGCCCATTGTGGAACAGGAAGCTAGCGATGTACCCAGAACACATCTCTGCAGTTCTGAAATAGTACGCCAAACTACACGCAGTCTCTTTAGCTATGGCTGATGAGAAGCCGGATGACTTCAGACAACTATCTGAAGTAATGAAGTGACATATTGTCACAAATAGTGTTATTTTTCATTCATTCATTCAAATTAATACAAGGTTCGAAGTCATGGAACGGTCGCGTCTTTGTTTATTAATTCCAAAATTTTCGAATCGTGAACGAACTTTTTTCCATAGTTGAACATAAACACTGGCGTGACATTGACTTCAACGAACCTGGACTATCGACCTGATTTCCTTACTGTCACGTTTCCGAAAATGAAGACAACTATTCAAAAGACGTAAGGAAGCGGGTTCGACAGTTCGACTACCGGTTTGACTGCGAGTTGGACTGCCAGTTCTAATTGTAGCTCTGTTTTTTAACACGACCACGGAAAGTCTTTTCTTGATGTTGAATCATTTCCGATAAAATGGCTTGTCGGTCCTTAGCCCGAAAAATCAGGCGCTTAGGACTCTGACAAGGACGCGTCGCGAATTTACCTTGAGAATGATAAATACGTTTTCATCGGTCGTCTGAAGCTGTGACACTGATGCCCTTCCTCCAGGTCTCAGAAGATAGCATGTACAAGCATAAGGTATGTTTTAAATTGTTATTCATATTCTGATTCTGAATAAATGTGTTTATTTGTTGTTTTGGAAATGATTTCACTTTTTTTCCGACTATTCATAAATTGCCAAGGTTCATTCTCTATTGACAAAAAGAACACAGCTTAGGCAACCCCCGCCTACAGTTTGTGACAATATTTGGGAGTTTCATAGATAGAATTTGGCTTCATATGTGAGATCGGTGATGGTTCAACTTCAGGATTATTTCGAGAATGATCAAGACCTTACTAAAGCTCCCAAAGGTTTCGAGAAACGTTTGCCTGATTTTCTCCATGATTCGTCAAGTGGTGCAGAGGATTTGGTTTTCGATCATGGAGATTGTTGGTACAATAATCTGATGGACAAGGTGGAATGAATTATCGAATAAGAAGGAGGTGAATTGAAATTGAAGTGGATTCCACTTCAATAGATGACAGGACAGATACAAAATCTCGAAAACATAACTTAATTCGACTTGCCGAATTCGAGCCAATGATTATCTATCGATACCACTATCTAATCTTGATACTCACTACAAGGAATCGTATTTTCATTCAATTACGAGTGGCCCATTGTATATAGAGTTGATAAGCATTGAATATTTGGAAGAGTATAGCAGAATTGTGAATAACAGAGATTGTTCAATATGAAACCAGTCTCCTTGGATTGCTGAACAACTCTCGTGATATAGGTACACGGTGGCACATTATCCTTTATTGTCATCAGATATTCATAATAATAATAATAATAATAATAAATCGTCTTCATTCATCTTGCAACAATATCAGTACATTAAATTTATAAAAAATAATTATTGTAGTACAAAGATGGAGAGGCGAAGTGTCAGCTGATGCTGTTTTACAACTCCTCTTTATATTCGAAAATAAGGAAATAATTTTTTATCGGTGATTTGAAAAATTATTGTACAATAAACGTGTGAGAACAGGAGCAAAGTTTGTATTCATGCAAGTACGCGAAGTTGAACTATGCAGCTGTTCTTGAAAATCTGATGGTGATTGTATTTCAGGAGGATATCAACGGTTTTATGTTTCCCTTCACTACGCGTCTGGAGACAACAAGAATCTACTACTTTTGTTCCTTGTTTGATGAATAACTATTCTCACAAGAAACTCATCAACCTATAGAATGAATTCGACATAATTCGAAAGTAAATGTAATAGATATTAATGTAGCCCTCTTAGGAAACACGTCATTTTGTGTGACGATGGGATTCCGCCAAACTTTCAATATTGGGAAGATATAACATTATATTGAATTCAGAAAATCATCGACATGAAATTAACAGGCATGACACCTGCGTTGCAGTTATCAAATATCTGTCAGTCTAATTCTGTGATTTGATGTCAAAAGATTGCGAATTTACTGGTTGTTTAGTGATTTACGTAACCGCGAAGACGAATGGAAGATAAAAGTACTTGCAGTTCTTTGTCGGGAACGGTGTTTGCTGATTTATATCTCGTAACTATGTCAACCGAGATGAAATTTTCAACATTTTGATCCCTCATCACAGAAAAATATATATTCCTGCCAACTTTCGTGAAATGAAGTTATTCAAGAATAATGGTTTGAACTTCCACTATCTGTCTCATTGATTAAATTCATTTCACTTGATTATTTGGAATTCTCTCCTTATTTCTATAAAATGAAAATATGAGTATTATTTCAATATACAGGGTTTTTCACTTAAAACTCCGCACGCCAATATCTCGAAAACGAATAGAATATTATTAGATTTCTGTAAAGATAGTAGTCAATGGAGGAGGTCAGGTACATTTTTTTCAAAGTATAAAAAATTCAACGCCTACCAGGAGCTGAGCGTCGTGACGCTTCTCTACAATTTGACCTGCATTCTCCAAACACCAGTAACATGTCCACTTTTTTCTCATTGCTGAATTGAATCATTTTATATAACTATGGTTAGTTTTGTTCGAATCGAACAAATCAGAATATTTCATATCACAAAATGTGACAATATCTCTGACACAGTACTGACAACATCTGTCGCTTGTAATTGCGATAACAATAATTGCCATGGTAACTAATACTCATGGCATTCTTGTAAAAATCATCCAAAATCGCATTTTTTGTCAATCAAGAAATATTTACTATAAACTGGCATAACTCAGAAATGAGTACGATGAATTAGTTCGAGTAAATAACAAAAAAATTCATAAATAACATGTTCTTTGGCATGCGTGTGATTTCAAAGTCACTGCAATCGATTTATATTTTCGACGCGTCACGACGCTCAGCTCCTAGTAGGCGTTGAATTTTTTATGCTTTGAAAAAAAATTTGCTTGACACCCTCCATTGACTATACTTGTTACAGAAATCAGATATTCCTATTCGTTTTCGAGATATTGGCGTGCGGAGTTTTGAGTGAAAAACCCTGTATATGTAGTAGGACAAATCATATGGCCCCAAGATGTTTGAAGAGAAAAAACATGAATATCATAAAAAAATATCGAATTTTCACTTACCTTTGTACGTTTCGAGAACGAATCTGCTCCCGTTCTCAACATAAAAAAGCAAAATAGTTTTCTTCGAAAATGTTCTTCTTATAGTTTGACACATCTCAGTGACATACTAATGTTGGCATATGGATGAGTGATGATATATTTCAATTAGCATAATCTTCTCCTAGTAATTTTTCAACAATATTTCAGAATTGATTTTCTCACCAAATACCACTCTAGCTTCAATCAAGAACAGAATTGTTTTCTCCGAACTGGAATGATTAGAAGAATGGAATTTTCAAAGAATGGTATATGGTGTATTGGTGATAATTGAAGTCTATACAGGGTGTCCCAGGATTTGCCTGCCAAACTTCACCAGCGGCTTCTTCGACCAAAAATAGGAAGAAAAGTTTCAAGGAACATGAGTCGAGAAATGTCTCTTAAGTGAGTTACGGCCCCTAGAGAGGGGGGTCCTGAAGATGATATTTCTCGAATATTTTCGAAACGTGATGAAATAATGCAATTTGGTACACGTACTGAACTTTCCTGAACCTCAAGAAAGCGCAAAAAATTGGAAAGGGATGATGAAAAAACTATTTAAGTTTTTGTGCATTTTTTTTCCATTTCCACTACACCTCATCGTAATGTTATTTATAATATCTGAGATGTAACAAAATTTTTAAATTGCTCTCACCCGATAATAATACATCTAATCGTCACGGAACGAGTACCTCTTTTATGTGAAAAGGTATGAAATTTCCATACAAAATATTTTGACTAATATTTGATGTAGTCCCACTCTGTATCATACACTCCTGTTTGAAATTTCAAAATGATTCAATCTTTACTGCATTGTGCATGGAAATTTTAGGTTTTTTACCGAATTGCATTTTTTTATTACATGGAGTTTCGGAAATACTCAAGAAACATCATCTTCAGGAGCTCCCTTAGGAGACATTTCTCGATTCATGTTCATTGAAAGCTTTCTTTCTATTTTTGGTCGTGAAAGCCGCTGGTGAAGTTTGGCAGGGTGATTCTGGGACACCCTGTATAGTGTTATCATGGGTGAAAATTTCCCAATCCGGTGGACAATTTCGAATAAATTAGTTGTTTTATACTTATATATATATATAGATCCCATGATTCTGATCAAGAAAGTGTGTATAAATATGTTTCCTATCTTGACGATCAGTGGCGGAGAAACAGGGGATCAAAGTTTAATTATTTTCCCCTACTGATTAAAATATCTCGCTGACTTAAATTCCACAGGTCGCGCCTAACTGAGAAACAGGACTCAGGTGCAGGAATTTACCTAGAAGGATTAGGCATAAGGGAGAGCTACGCTCTTGGAAAGTATACCAGAATTTTCCAGGCCGAGGTCTTTGCCATTCTGGCAGTAGCGGAGAGGCATGAGGTGAAAGAGGGACCAGAGCAGAAGATTTACATCTGCTCGGATAGTCAGGCGGCTCTCAGGGCTGTCTGCCATCCTAAACCAAGCTCAGCTTTGGTGCAAGAATGTGGCGATGCTCTTGAGAAACTAGCTGAACAGAAGGAAGTCGAACTAGTATGGGTTCCGGGGCACAGGGGGGTGCCCGGGAACGAGGTGACCGACGAGCTGGCTATATAGAATCGGATCCGCGACACCGTTCTGGGGACCGGAGCCTGCACTGGGCATAACAAGAAGCCAAACTTCGTCTGCCCTTAACAAATGGGCGGACGAGGCACTAGAAGTATATTGGAGGCGTATAGGCGGCTGCAGGCAATCGAGAGATCTGATGGCCGGTCCAAGTAAGCCAAGGACGGCTTGGTTACTGGGCAGGGATCGCCAAGTCCTGCGCCTTCTTATAGGGATACTGACAGGGCACAACAGGTTACGCAGACACCTATTACTCATAGGTGTGGAAGATAGTCCCACTTGCCGTGAATGCGGAGAAGATGAGAAGACATCACTTCACTTCCTCGGAGAGTGTGAGGCGTATGGAAGGATGAGATTCGAAATCTTTGGATAAACTACAACAGAAGGACGGGAAGGTTCGAAAAGGACAATTAAAAGAGGGATGTGTAGATATGTGGAGAGCAGGGGTTGGCAAAAAGGGCCCATGGGGGCCTACTTGCCTGGCTACAGCCTCCCCACAATACTACTACTACTGAATTCCACAGGATGATACGTTTCTGATGAGAGTTGAGGCTTCTTTATTTCCCCTCAAATCTTTCCGTAGTACGCCTCTGACATATTCCAGTTATCAAAGAGGGTGAATCGTTCAATTAGAGGACCTCATCTACATATCAGTTTTTTTTTTTCGAGAAACGCAATGTTTTCGAAATAAATGAGCATAGACGTGCAATAACATGTTATTTTTGCCTATTATTGTTTCCTCAATACAATGAAATGTATCAAACACAATATGGATCGGCAGCTGAAATATAGTTTATGCAAAGTCAGTTGGAAAAACAATCACCGCGTTCTGTCGGTCCCTTTGAAAGTTCAAAGAGTGCGGCCCGACATTCGTTTGATGATCTGTTCAACTGACTTAAACTCTACAAAGGGTAGAAGGTCAGGCTTCTTCCAAGCGACTAATTCAACGATCGACGACGCGGAAAATTCGTGTTGACCCACTTGTTGAGCCCCATCCAGTTGTATCCATATTCCTTATCCAAAAACTTTCTCAACATCATTCGAACAAAATTGAAAAAGAAATAGCATTCAACTTGTCAGGAAGAATCTTCTCGAGGAATGTGATCATTCCTTCTGCGTATTCTAATATTACTAATTGATTTTGTCCAAGAATTGAATTTAAGAGGCAAATATAGATAAAATTAACATGTTTTCGAACGGAAATGTTAATTGGTCTCGAAAACGGTTCGTTCCTCGGAAAAAATTGATATGCATTTGAACCTCTGAATTGAACGATTTAGCCTATTTGGTAACTGAAAAATGTCAATGCCTTCTGGATGCCCGATGTTGCAGCAACAGCTGTAGACAGGCAGCTCGTCTACGGGTTCGAAGGTTCCTTTCATGGAGACGCCGACGAATAGTTGAACAGGATATATATATTGATAATCGTGATGTTCCTTAGTTGACTCTCATTCAAGGTTCTCCGACGATTAACTGTCAGAAGGACATGGTTATCATCCCGACGGCTTGTTGCTCTATTACGTCAACCGCCATGACGGTATGCTACATTGCCTGTATCCTCAAAACGATGAATCAGTCTATTTATAGTAGTATAGTTAATGATTATCTGTACTGAATTATAGTTTATATCACTAAAGTGATCTTATCTAATGATATTTTCCATTTCGACCCGATTTAAACGAGGCATCTTTAAATTTTTTAGGAGCCGAATAACACTGACGTTTTCATGAAAATTGGCAATTGATATAACCTCTATGCATACCTACATTGTTTCAACAATACGTTGTTATAGAAACAAGGTAACGTTGTTTGTTTTTGTTGATGAGATGTGTTGATTTACTGCTCACTAAGGTAGAAAACTTTTATCATAGACTGCGAAGTGATGAATTATTGATTGTTTTTGAGTAACCTGGTATACATATCTGCTCCAACGCTTTCCTGAAATGCATAAAAGCAGCCATTTATAGAACTCCTTTAAAATTGGTCCATTTGAAGAAAATGCAAAACAATTTTTTTCGGAAGCCACAGTGATTTTTGGCAAAAACTCGAAAATGTCCTGAGGTATGGTTGCTATTTATGAAATGCCAGAATGGAATATGAGCATCGTGGTCTTTCAACAAAATGGGGGGGCAGATATTTTTTTTTCAAAATGCACGAAACGGTTCAAAAGACGATTAAAAAGTCATTCAGAATCTGGGCGGCTATTGAAAATTCGTTCAATATTTTAGAAATTACGAGAAGTCAGAATTGATGCCAAATTTCACTATAAAAGTTTCAATTGACGCCCAGTTTACTTGAAATTATAAATTCCTAGGAAGTATTGACAACACCGAATTGATCTCTTCAAAAGTGATCGAGATATTCTAATTGATAGATCCGCTACTGATCGAGATCTGACCTAGGTTGATATGCATTTTTTCAAATGGAATGATGATATCTTTAACTCATTCCAGTTTGTACCGCAAAACCTGAATCACCCTGTATAGAGTGCATGAAATGCAGTATTTCCGCATCAAACATATCATAACGATTTAAATATTATCTCAATGCGATTACAGATTAATACTCATTCACACAACATGTGCACAGTACGACGCCATTTCTATTATCAATAATTAAATACTTCAGGACACAAAATTATTCGATTAGTAGATTGGTTCCGTAGAGTAGGAAAAATGACTTCGGTGGAGCTGTCAGCAGAACAGAGTCAGCTAATAGAAAAAATCGCAAGTGATAATGATTTTATCGATCACCAAGTCAAAGCCATAACAGGTAGTGTGAAAGGAGATAATTACTTGGGGAAGATCACTTCCGTTACAGTTGAAGATGGCAACAGAAAACTAGAGCTGATACTGAAGTCAGCTCATGTGGGCGAGATGAGGAATCAAATGCCAATCCACAAAGCCTACATGCGCGAGATATTCGTTTACGAGCAAGTCTTCGCGAAGTTTAAGGAGTTTCAGGAGGAGTACCGCATATCCGAACCATTTCAGAGTTACCCAAAGCTCTATGCGACCAGTGATGTAGAGCCCAAGGAGTGTCTAGTTATGGAGAACCTGCGAGAAAGCGGTTACAAGCTGTGGAACAGGAAGCAACTCATGAATCCAGAACATATATCTGCAGTGCTGAAAGAGTACGCCAAACTTCACGCAGTCTCCTTTGCTATGGCTGAAAAGAAGCCAGAGGAGTTCAGGAAACTTGCTGAAGTGATGAAGAATCATATTTGGGAGAATGATAGGGAGCTGACGGCTACGTATATTAGATCGGTGATGAATCAAGTTCTGGAATTTTTCGAAGATGATCCAGATACAACTGAAGTTCTCGAAGCGTTCGAGAAACGTTTACCTGATATGTATTTCGATCCGTCAAATGATTCCGAGAGTTTTGTGTTCGATCATGGGGATTGCTGGTGCAATAATTTGATGTTTGGATACGAGGTAAATTTAATTCTCAATTAAGAACCACCTTGATGAATGAGAGGGGCCTGTTAAGATTCCAGATGTTTCAGGATATTATCTCTTCGTGCCTATAGAATGAAATTATGGAAAACATTTTAATATACCTACGTGTGATGAGGAAAAATCAGATGGTTCGCCTCAAAATGTTATTGCGTTTGAAAATGTTTCTATCAGAAACAGTAGAGTGAAAATGCATTCGCTTGTCAGTGACAATTCGTATTGAAAACGGTTTTGGAGGAGAGAGGTATAGGTATATATACACGTAAGCTCACTACTGTGGTATATAGAAGAAATTACAGATTTTCATTTATCTCTGGACGTTTTGAAAACGAATCTGTTCTCGTTTTCGAAATGAAAATGCAAAAATTGTTTCTTGCGAATTCGCCAAATTAACACTTCTCGTGACAAACGGTGACGTTGGCAAAAAATGAGTTACAAGATGTTTTCATTTATTAATTTAGAATTCATCATTCTCATTTTCATATTTCATCAGTGGATACCAAATGTTTCATCTTCATCAACTGAACAGATTCGTTACCGAAACGTCCAGAGATGGGTGGAAATATGAGATTTTCTCTTTATTCCTATACATATATCTCTTTTCCAAACCTTTTTTAATAAAAATTGTCACTGATAAAATAGTTATCGATACACCAAGGCGGTGAAGAATATAAGTATTACCCAGGGACCAAGTTCATCTTCCGAGGCTCTAGCCCCGGGTATAAGGTCCCGTGGTAAAGATATTCTTTACTACCAAGGTGTATATCTTTCTCCACCACTAACAATGATTTCCAATTGATTGAATTTCATGGAACTGAACGGAAAGAAACATATTAACAACATAATAATATACAAATAAAATTTAAATGAAATTCGTCCTCCATTTTGACTCGTGAATTTGACAAATTTCGCGCATGCGCAAATAGGTATTAGCACCCGCAGACTGTCATTTGTTTCCTCAAAACTGGCTTCACTTTTGACCATGGAAACATAGGATGTTATCCGTATATGGACAGGACTCAAACGACTGAAGGTGTGTTTGAAAAATACTCAGTAGGTTGAAATTGTGTTGCCATGGTGAGGTGTTTGATTTTTCGAATGAATTACAGATCATCAATCTGTGATGAATCTATCATTTAGAGTGGAACATATCCGTACGCTAAATGTCATTTCAGTTGTGTGAGTAGATAAAAATATTCAAACACAGTGACATTTTGGGGCGAACCATCGAGTTTGTTGTCACTACACGTATATCGAAATCATACTCATATTTTTATTTTATAAAAACGAGGTGAGAAAATCCCAAAAAATCTGGTTGACCTACAGACAGTATATTTTATTTAATTACGTTTCGTCGAATTCAAGCCGATTATTATCTTTCGATACAATACAATCTAATCTTGCTGTTCACTACAATGATTCGTATATTAATGTTCATCACGAGTTGATAAACATCATTGGATATGGTGATGAGTAAAAGAAAATATTGAATAACAGTATCCTTGAGTTCCTGATCAACTGTCGCGGTACAGGGTGATTCACCTCAAATGACCCCCCCCCTCTAGCTCACTAATTTTTCAACCAATTTAAAATTTGAAGAATAATCTAAAATGATTTTTCAGAAATTTTTTTCCTGTTGCATCAAAGAATACAGGGTGTTCGGAATAAACGATCCACACAGTACTACTTGATTTTTTCAAATAGAACACCCTGTATTTCATTGTATCTTCAGATTCTTCCTGAAGAGCTGATTTCATTATTGCATCACACTTGGGGTCTAGCGGTAATGATTACAGAGATATAGGGTGTTCAAAATCGAGATTTTTCAACTTCAGGATTTTTTTGTGTCGAAACTATTCATTATTGATCAAAACGACTTCCATGTCCCTAACTCAACTCTTGATTTACTATCTACTGACATTTAATTGAAACATTTACACGGTGGTTCAAGATTCAGAATTTTGATCACCCTGTATCTGTTCCAATTATCAAATGTCAGTATATATAGTGAATCAAAAGTTGAGATACGGACATGAGAGCAGTTTTGACCGGTAATGAACAGTTTCGTCACAAAAAATTCTAAAGTTGAAAAATCTCGACTTTGAACACCCTCTGTATCTCTGTAATCATTCTCGCTAGACCCCAAGTGTGATGCATTGATGAAATCAGCTTTTCAGGAAGAATCTAAAAATACAATGAAAAATAGGATGTTCCTTTAAAAGAATCAAATAGTACCCTGTAGATCGTTTGTTCCGAGCACCCTGTATTTTCTGATGTAGCGAAAAAAAAAACTTCAAAAATTATTCGAGATGATATTCCAAATCTTGAAACCGGTCCAAAAATAACTGAGCTAGAGGGGGGGTGGACATTTATGGTGAATCCGCCTGTACATAGGTTGAATATACAGTGTGTGCGATTTCAACTTCCAATATTTTCCTATATAAACAGATACAAAAAGCTCAAAGTCATGTCCACACAATGTTCATAAAATAAACAACAGATTTCGGGAGAAAAACAACTACTTTCCTGTTTAATGCCACGCAGAACATTGAATTACATTTTCACGAAAACTATGCATCGACTCGTATAAACGAATATACTGATACAAGTGATTCTTTCCTGAATGCCTATTGATTTTGATTTAGCCAGGCCACGCTAGACAACCACAGACCGACTTCGAGCTCTTTGACGCTCATCAGTGCAGTGTAGTCTCCAGCCAGCAGTCCTAAGACTCAGCGTTGGCTCAGCGAAGCCGAGCCAACCAAAAAACAAGCATCGTGGCTATTTCGTAGTAGAGATTACGCCAGTCGGGCAACCAGCCACTCCCGTAAAGGAATTTCAGTTTTGGAGTGATTCTTTCCTCTGTTCTACTCAGATGGCGTTACTTTCATATTGTCGATGAAAGACGCCTCGGGGAGAATATAATTCCGACTTGATTTTTGATTGACTAGGCTTCGCTGAGTCGGCGGTCTTAGGACTGCTGGCTGGAGACTACACTGCACTGATGAGAGTCAATCAAAGAGCTCGAAACCGATCTATGGTCGTCTAGCGTGGCCTGGCTAAATCTAAATCATTCAGGAAAGAATCATTTGTATCAGTATTCGTTTATACGAGTCGATGCATAGATTTCGGGATGATGTAATTCAATTTTCTGCGTGGCATTAGCCAGGAAAGTAGTTATTTTTCTCCCGACAATCTACAATTGTTGTTCATTTCATGAACATTGTGTGGAAATGACTTTTGAGCTTATTGCATTCATTAAACATTTCATTCCATTTTGAGCATTGTGGCTATTTCGTAGTTGACACCCTGTATAGCTGGAGAAGTAAAAATACTAATTTGGAAACGATTGATTTTGTGAGCAAACTAATTTCTAGGTTTTTAATTCAAATGCAAGTTAGAAAACTTGTAATGTGTGGGAGCCGTGAATCAGCCTGAATATGGTGTCAATATCTCCCGAGTACAGGGGTGAATTCATATCTGATTAATAATGTGCTATGGTGAACTATTGTTTTTCTATATTTCGAATATCATCATCAGTCAATTTCCTTCCAATTCCATATTACTCAGATTTCCTTGGTCGATTTTTGAAGTATCAGAATCATATTGTCACGGTAATTTTCAAACAGCTAGAATTTTACTGCAAATAAAAACTCACGTCACGATTCCGTTAGTAGCAGCAACCATAGCACAGTTGCCATATTATTAATTTGGAATAGAAATGGGACTCCTGAAATATCATTCATTCAATAATTCATGAATTCTCAATATACTCAATTAGCTATGAAAAATTTATTGTCTCAAAATTATTGTCCCTCTTACATGTTGTGTTTTATTGCTCATGATGAATATTTGATAATAATCATTATATCAATTCACGCTAAGCAACATTCGGTCCAGTGACAACACAGGACTGTGGGCGTTGTCTCGTCAGTTTTCAGCATTCAGCAAAGCGTTGCCAAGTCTCTTCAGCCAATATCCTCACGCTTTCTTATATGGATAGTGATTCTTTGCCTTATTTGAAATCGTTGAATTTCAGAGCTCATTTCAAACGTAACGTCATAAACGCCATTTGGCGATACGTCGAATAAATGGTGTCGTCAGTTTTTATGCTGTTTCGTTATTGGTCAGATAATCTTTCATTTCAAGGTTTTCAAGTCACCAATTATAATCAAGTTATCAAAAAGATATTAGAGTCCTGATGTCGTTGAATAAAACGTTATAGGAGGATGCCATGATATTATAGTTCATTCTAGACTCCTTCGAGCAACCAGCATTCCCCAATATTTCTCATACTGCATGACAAAATATCATGTAAATGTTGGAGACTTGACAACATTGTGATGGCTGATAACTAACAAGACAATTCGTGCGCAGTGTTGTCAAGTTTACTAAATCGAATGTGTCATTATTTTTGCTCATCAAATCCCGACCTTTTTATGGGAAATAACGTCCTATTCCCAGTTGTTATGTTTTCGCCGGCGAGTGAGTGTGTAACTTCCAGAAAATAACGACATATTTCAAAACATAATAGCAATTTCAAAACAATCTTCTAGGAAATATCGACATATTTTGTACCGTGTCGTTCTTCTTATCATAGTAAGTATCGATTCATCATATTTCACACACAATAACGTCTTTTTTCAAAATATGTCATCCTTTCAAAAATTATTACAACTTTCCAGTCTAAAAATTAATTGCTATAGTGACTCTTAACATAGAATATTTTGTACAGAATTCAATTCAGCTTTCTTCACTCCGAAGAAGGATCAATGCGAAGATCGCCCTTCTTATCTTGACGCAGATTCGGAGGCTAAAGAGCAGCTAAAATGAAAGGAAAGAACGTTGTCTCGACTAGAATAAGAAAACGATAGAAACAATGATGATCCTTCTTGCATTGTAGCAGTTTATGACTTGCAGGGAACCCTAACTTGCTCGAGAGGAGACGTATCCAATTTTTATAACGTCTACAGAATAAA